GTGAGATGATATCTCATAGTGGTTTTGATTTGTATTTCCCTGACGATGAGTGACGTTGAGCAGGTTTTCATGTGTCTCTTGGCCATCTGGATGTCTTCTTTGGAGAAATGTCTGTTGGTATCTTCTGCCCATTTTTAAATTATATTATTTGTTTTCTGGGTGTTGAGTTGTATAAATAAGTTCTTTAGATATTTTGGATATTAACCCCTCAGCAGGTGTATCATTTGCAAATATCTTCTCCCATTCAGGAAGTTGCTTTTTTGTTTTGTTGATTGTTTCTGTTCTGTGCAAAGCTTTTTATTTTGATTCAGTCCCAACAGTTTATTTTTGCTTTTGTGCCCTTGTCTTATGAGACATATTTAGAAAAATGTTGCGGGGCACCTGGGTGGCTCAGTTGGTTAAGCGGCCAACTTCAGCTCAGGTCATGATCTCAGGGTCTGCGAGTTCGAGCCCCGCGTCAGGCTCTGTGCTGACAGCTCAGAGCCTGGAACCTGTTTCAGATTCTGTGTCTCCCTCTCTCTGACCCTCCCCTGTTCATGCTCTGTCTCTCTCTGTCTCAAAAAAAAATAAACGTTAAAAAAAAAAATTAAAAAAAAAAAAAGAAAGAAAAATGTTGCTAAGGCTGATGTCAGAGAAACTACTGCCTGTGTTCTCTTCTAGGATTTTCCCGGTTCACGTCTCACATTGAGATCTTTAATCGATTGAGAGTTAATTTTTCTGTAATGGTGTTAGAAAGTAGTCCAATTTCATTCTTTTGCATGTAGCTGTCCAGTTTTCCCAGCACCATTTGTTGAAGAGACTCTTTTTCCTATTGTATATTCTTGCCTCCTTTTTTGAAGATTAACTGACCATATAATGATGAGTTTGTTTCTGGGGCTCTCTATTCTGCTCCATGGATCTATATGTCTATTTTTGTGCCAGTACCAAAAGATAATGTATCATGTATCTGAAATTCACATTCAATTGGGTGCCCTGTATTTTATTTAAAACCCAATATAGGGGCGCCTGGGTGGCGCAGTCGGTTAAGCGTCCGACTTCAGCCAGGTCACGATCTCGCGGTCCGTGAGTTCGAGCCCCGCGTCGGGCTCTGGGCTGATGGCTCAGAGCCTGGAGCCTGTTTCCGCTTCTGTGTCTCTCTCTCTCTGCCCCTCCCCCGTTCATGCTCTGTCTCTCTCTGTCCCAAAAATAAATAAACGTTGAAAAAAAAAAAAAAAAAAAAAAAACCCCAATATAAAAGGCATTCCCGAGATCTGCTAGCCTCGTGGTAGAGGTTTTTCATCTGTCTTGGTCCTAGTATGCAATTCATGAAAGCCTCACTGTAAATTTCTTCCCAAAGCCATACCTCACTAACTAGCAGAGAGAGTCCAATCAGTCAGAAATTGTTTAATCTTTGAATTGCCAACCTTGAAAAGGAACATATTAAATAGTTGTTTCATAAGAAGGTGACTCGCCATTTCCTTCAAATCTGTCATAGAAGCCAAGGCCCTGAACATTGTGGGAGTGACTTTTCCCCCACTGAACTCTACCCACCTCACAGAGGAGGAGTTACTAACTATCAAAGAGCTTATAAACGCAGGAAGGATTGGCACGCAGCTGCTGAGCCTAGTGGGAAACAGACCTCAGTAAGGTAAGTACTGCTTTT